GACTTGTCAGCCTCCACAATCACATGAGCCAGTTCAGTCTCTCTCACCCTTGCTCTCTCTCTCTCCCTCTAGAAAATATGTTACATATGTATAAATAGTACCTAACTAATAGAACTATGTATATATAGACACATATCGAGTTATATTAATATATGGAGGGGCACAAAGGGAGAGAAAGATTTATATATCTTTATATATCTCTTTGTAAGAGCACATAGGACTGAGTCCTAAGTACAAATGTAAAGTTTGGGAAGAGAAAGAGCCCAAAGAAAATATTTAGAAGTGGTCAGTAAGCAACATCAGAAGAGTGTGGTATCACAGAATTTAAATGAAGAAGAGGTGTTGTGAAGAAGGGAGAAAGCAAGAGTGTTAAACAAGGTAATGAGAACTGTTAAAAGGAGAACATTAACATTTGGTAGATGGAGATAACTGGGGGTGGGAAAGAAACCAAGGCAGGATACTGTACCTAATAGTGAAAGATCACCCTAGTAAATAAGTTTTAAAACTAATAGGTCCATCACAATCAAAGTGATGGATTCAAAGAAAATTTCAAAATAGAGGAGTATAATTCTCTACATAATTTCAGGAGTCTGCAGCTTTTCTAATAATAGTATGTCAACTCTATAGGTACCACTTAACTCTGAGCATTACTGTGTTAGAAACATTTTAATAGGTAGTTTTGTTTGTATAGTTACTCTTATTGCCTACCAAGAAAAAAATGTGCCTAAATTATGAAAAAGTTTCATAGAAAATCAAGTTTAAATTAAAGGAAAATCAAATAATATTTATTCAATCTTTATAATACACAAATTAATCATTGTGATATGGAAATCATTTTACAACTTCTGCTCTCATATTATGTCAGCTTATGGACATATCTAACATATTATCATCTACAGAGTTTTCTTTTTCTATTTTTTTCAATTTTATTTATTTTTATTTTTTGGTTTCATTAATATACAATTACATGAGCAACATTGTGATTACTAGATTAACCTCATTATCAAGTCCCCACCACATACCCCATTACAGTCACTGTCCATAAGCATAATAAGGTGCTGTAGAGTCACTACTTGTCTTCTCTGTGCTATACTGCCTTCCCTGTGTCCCCCTCTGTTATGTGTGCTAATTGTAATGCCCCTTATATTCCCCTTCTCCCTCCCTTCCAACCCACCCTCCCCAGGCCCTTCCCCTTTGGTAACTGTTAGTCCATTCTTGGAGTCTGCGAGTCTGCTGCTGTTTTGTTCCTTCAGTTTTTTCTTTGTTGTTATACTCCACAGATGAGTGAAATCATTTGGTACTCGTCTTTCTCTGAGTTTTCTTAATATTCAGTCAAGAGGCAAGAAACTAGCTCTTGGACTCTGTAGTGAACTGTTTTGCACTTACTTTGTTTCCTAAATGAGTGGTCTTCAGAATTCCATCTTGCCACACTTTTGACTTCTTCATCTTTTGATGAGTATATAGAACCTTATTTTAAAAAGAAGAAACATACATACTTATATGTATGAAATGTCATGTGTTTTTATACCCTTACTACATACAAAAAATACTTAACACATCTTTTATTAAAATGAAAGCACAGATTCCATAAAAATAATAACAGAACATCAACCACAAAAAACAAACTAGGTCGTAAAAGCCAAGGGAGGGGGAAAGGAGAGGTAAAATCTAAGGAAGAAACTGAAATGTTAACTGAGCAACAAAAATAACTTCAAAAAAATAATATTCTTAGTAATTCTGAGCTTTCTATTCATTGGAAAGGGAAAAATTTGTTGTGTCACACTGTAACTATAATCTGTACAGTTCTCAAGCTATAGTCCAGAGACTCCTGGAGATCCCCAAGACTTTTTTAGGAGTCTGTGGGGTCAAAACTATTTTCATTACATTATTTGCCTTTTGCTTTTATTCCTTTGGCCATGCATTGTGAAGTTTCCCAACATTACGTGTATGTGCAATATTGCAAGACTCAATTTCAGACTGAATGCAGAAACAGATCTGAGAATCTCTCTTCTATTAAGTCAAATATTAAAGGGATTTACAAAAATTATACAGCAATGCTACTCTTTTCAGTACTTTTTTCTGCTGTTAATTGTTTTAGAAAGTATAGCTATTTTCATAAAAGTGTATTTATGTTAAGTATAATGGGTTTATTAGTTTTAGTGAATTAATAAATATTTTTAAATTTTGTTTTCATTTCTAGTATGAAAGACATCCACAGATATAAGCCTCAGAATAAAAAATTCTTAGGAGCCTTCAATAATTTTTAAGAGTACAAAAAGGTCCTGAGATCAAGCAGTTTAAGAACCACTAAACTAGACAGAAGAAGCATTACAGTTCTTCAAGAGAAAGAAATCATTTCTTGGTCCCAAACTTTCAGAGAATTTGTTTCAGAGGACTCTGCTTAACAAACATGAATAGTAGGCAAGTGACAGGGCTGCCAGATAAAATGTAGGGCAATTTGATACATACATACTTACACTAAAAAATTACTCACTGTTTATCTGAAATTCCAAAGTAATTGAGCATACTACTTTTAGGTTTTGGGCTTTTTGTTTTGTTTTGTTTTGTTTTTTTATTTTGCTAACTCGGTCAACCCTAGCAAGACATTTGTGAAATACGGAAGAAAGGGAGAAAAAGGAAATAGTAAAAACTAGTAAGACTTACAATAAATTCTTGGTTTTCCATTGTTTCTTCTGAAGTTAAAAACCAATCAGGTCCAGAAAATAATAGTGGTTATTAAATTATTTATATTACCTAAAATGAAATGGCAAAGAAGATTCAACACTGATGAAAAGAATAACTATCAAATGCAATTTTTTCCCCCACAGATTCTTGACCAGAGAGGAGAACTGAAGAGTTCCAAGACTATGTAACTACCAAGGGAACCTCAGGTGTAATCAAATTCTACTGGGAGCACATTAAAGTGACACCACACTGTGGAAAAATAATTTGTCAAGTAAAGAGAAACTAAATAAAATATTCAAAATAATTAGTATTCTGTAAACCTTTTTCCATGTGCCTTAATATGTATCAGTAAACATGATTCCTCTCTCCTGTGAACACTTGGTTCCCTTGAGAAAGTGGTTCAATTTTTCAAGTTTTCTGAATTGCGATGGTCAGCACAAGATGGTCCCCTTGCATTTTAATTTTTTTTTACATCTTAGTCAATATATAGCTAGATACCATCACAGCATCTAGTACTAAATATACATTATAAAGCCTCTGCAAGGAAAAAATCTTTTCAGTATCACTGCAATGAGTACTGTAGTTATCCTGTGCTATTGGATAAAACTGTTACTATGGGAAAATTTACAGACCTAAAATCACTGATGGTGAACTGAAGAAGTATAAATATAGATGCCAAAGAAAACTACTCTTTTTTCTAAAGCAGTGGTTCCAAAATATGACCCCTGGACCAACAACATCAATATCACCTGGGAACTGGTTAGAAATTCAAATACCATATATACTCACAAATACCATAATACCATATGATACTATGTCATACAGGGATAGATACTTTACATATAATATCAGTCTCATAATTCTGAAGAGTAGATATTGTCGTCACAATTTATGGATTAAGAGTCCAATATTCACTAATTAAGGACTACTAATATACTACTTAGGAATTGCAAGATAAACTCTACATTATTTTCCTAAATTAGAGATATTACTTGTAGGATTTACTATTTAAAAGGAACTGAGGAGGTCCAAACTCTCATAAGTGGTAAATTAGTTTTGGGATGAAACCTCAAAAAAGAAGGCTAACTGGATTTTAAAATATTTAGAAAGCCCTAATTCTTACATTCAAAGGAGAGTTAACATCCCTTTCTTGTCATTAAACAGGAAAAATGGTTTTAGCCATCACCATCATATATTTAAGTGAAGTGCAAGGATAAAACATTTTCTGAAAGTCTTCATCTACCCACATCTATCAAACAATTCAAGTCTTGACCCACCTCTAAAGGGTGAAAGTTTAATGCGCAAAGAAGTTTTTAAGTGGTGCTCTGATAGTGATGCCTGATAACCTGGCATCACTATCAGGTTATCCGATACCTGATATCAGAGACCACAGATGCTCTGATAATGATACAAGTACAGACATACCTACATATCTACACAGATATATATACATATATATATATATATATATATATATATATATATACACATACGTTATTGTGCTGCTTCACACATTTATACATAAAATTTCGTGCTCTCACCAAAATAAGCACCATTCTACATGTTAAGAACGACAAGAAGTTTTTGGTCCTTCTGTTTTGGAACAAGAAGGATCTTTCGAATCCCTAAAAGGTTCACAGGCGTAAAAAGTTCAAAAGCACGAACTGAACATCTTGTTTTAAAAAACCATCCAGTCCAAATAACCAAAAACAAAAGAAGCTCGCATTTCATTTGCCAAGATTCTAATTATCATGATTTCTGTGTAACCAAATGACAGTGGAGACTTAACCCTTTGTCAGTCCCTAAAGACAAACAGCTAAGTCCTCTCTGGTCTTCACACGTATGCGGAAACTGCAAAGAAGGGGCTGGGAAAAGCAGTAAAAACGAGGCACTAATTATTAGAGAGTCCCAACAAGCTGTGATTGTCACTACCCAATCCTGGTTACAGGCTGCATCCCTACCGGTTAGCTTCCGGGAGAGCAGACTCTTTCGTCCCTTCGCCCCAAACCAGTGACGCTGCTTCTCGCTCAAATCCCCCTGTGTATCCACCTTCACTCCCCGAAAACACAGGAACCAGTTCACTTCACCTTTCCATTACATAGAAATCCACTTTCGAATTTCTCCCGCGAAAGACTGTGACGTCATTAGCCCGGGACCGTAGCACATCAGGACCCACTACTTAGACCGCCCTCCACCGCGCCAGCCAGAAACTCCGTTTTCAAACCGCCAATCAAATTCTTCATTGGCTGCGGGCCCCCTGGTCAACCCCGTGCCAGCCCACGCCTGTGACGTAAAAGACGGACGCACCGCCTCCGGGCCCGTCTTCTCCGAGGCGTTTGGGAGAACGGTGTCGCTCATCTTATGACGCGAAACCAACCACGACTGTAAGGAACGGGAGACGGAAAGGGCTGAAGAACGCAGTCACTGGCCCTGTATTTGGGAATTGAACGGAGTAAGTTCCAAGTGGAATATGCATATATATAAGGTCACACAGGTTGGCTGAGGTCAAAATTCCCCATTCCGTTTTCATGAAACCCATTTCTATCATCTGTCGTCCCTTTCATCCCGCCCCCTCCTACCACCCGTCAGTTTACTTGTTCCAGTTCTCTGTGCGCACGCGCAAAGTCCTCTGGCAGCTCTTGTAGTTCTAGTTTTCAGAAATAGGGGGCGCGAATTGTCGGTTTTTGGGGAGGCTTGTGGCTCCCCGGGATTTGCGGCGTCGGGCGGAAGGACCGGTGCCGAGAGGGGCAGTAGTCCAAAGGGAAATTGCTTTACATCGCGGATTTGAGTTTTGCCAGCCAAAGGATAGCTAGTGTGTAAAGACTTATATTTTAAAATTAAGTAATTTCCTCTTTGAAGACTCTAGTCCATGTCATCAAGAGTTGAAAATCCAGTTATGGGAGGGAGCTAACAAATCAGTGCAATACAGTGTACTAAGTGCGTTAATAGACATACTAAAGGGAAAACTGATGAAGAGTCAATTAATTGGGGGAGTCGGTGGAAAGCGACGGAGAGTTAAGATGTTGTTTAACTTGGGCCTTGAAAACAGAATAGGGACCCTTAAGGCCAGAAAGACGAAAAAACATTTCAAAGCAAAGCCAGGCTCGGTTTCGCGTAACTTGAGTAGTCATCTTAACCTTTGAAGGGTTCTTAACCTTTTTGGCACACCAAGTACTTTAAAAAACGTGGTAGAAGTTATGGAAGAGACAGGAAAATTCATCTACATGTGGAAGTATTTTACGTGTAATTTCGTCAGGAAAAACTGCGAAAGACTGAAATAGACAAGAAAAAAAATACCATATGTCTTGCCTAGGTCACTCTTCCAGGTTATCTCTGCCTTTCATTGTTATGAAGCTATTTTACCGTTGTGTAAGTTGTAGGAAACAGTAATAATGGAAATTAATCTTGCGATTTGTTAAATTAATTTTGCAGTTATTGCCTTGACCAGTTTTGCATCTATTAACGTATTCCTTGCAGCGTTCCTGATTGCTGATATTTGTGTGTCTGTCTGGTTTCTGAATTATCCTTTAAACTGGTTTTTAACACTTAACTAGTTCCCCGGTTAACTACTTAATATAAATCTAAATTAATTAAATAAAATCTTTGACATGTGTTTGTTTTATATTTGTACAAGAATCATTATTTTACCTTTTCTTTAAAGTTATTTTTTAACAATTGCATGGGATACACAAGGATTCTTGAAACCCACCCAAGATTCCATGGACTTCAGGGTAAGAATTCCTGAGTCCACATAGAACGCAAGGTGACTGACAGGTTGCAAGAAGTCCTACTAGGTAGGCAATGTGGGAGGCAAACAAACCTGAGCTTACTTACCTGGCTAACTTTGGCTAAATAACTAAACCTTTGAGCCTCTGTGAAAAAAAGAAGTTGGAAGAAACAACTTAGTGGGATTGTGAGGATTTAAAACAATGTATGTGAGTAACTAGTGTTGTTACAGAGTAACTTTTATTCTTGTTTAAAGCCCCTGTTTAGAAGTGTGTTTTAGACATGTTACACAGCTTCTGTGAAGGATGGGTGACTTCTGGAACAATTTATAACCTATTCCCATATAATATGACAGTATGGACAACCCTGGATAGAGAGATAAGAGCCATTCTAGAGGTGGAGTTGATAGGACTTAGTGACAAATTGGTAAATGATTAAATAATAATAGTTACGTATTATTATGTGTGTGCTGTATAGTAGCACTTAGAAGTGCTTTATTTGCATTGTTTTGGTTAATCTTCACCAACCCCATTATGTACGTATAATTTTTATCCACATTTTGTAGACCATGGAGAGATGAGGTGTGTAATTCACTTATAAATAGTTTGCTTGGTTAACTCAGAGGAATATGGCATCATCAGATAAGATGAGGATGATGAGAAGAACAGACCTGGGTCAGAAAGACAGTAAGTTTCATTTGGAATGTATGAAATGACAGCACACATATGTTATCACAGGCCATTGAGAAGGTAGACTTTGAGAATCAAGGCAGTAACAGAAGTACAGCCACATAACTTCCTGATCTTCCACAGCCATTGATTGTACCATATTGTACCAATTGTACCAATTTGTACCATAGCTTCCTCTAAAATGAAGGTTTATTTGATGATATACAGAATGGATATTTTTAAGATAACAAATTATAGATATGTGTTATGCACACTAGGCAGTAGTTTGAGCTTAATTCTCCAAGCCACAAATTAGAATGAGGCAATTAATTGGAAAAGTCTGTTTCTGGGAAAACTATGGGTATTTTCTATTCATGCAGTTCTGTCCACTATTTCTTTCAGTGGTGGCTTTGACAAGGAAAGGAATGGAGAGCTGGTAGTCTGCCCTTTATAAATTGTAGTTTTTTCGCCAAGGAAAGTCAGCAGTAGATCCTGCTGTAGTGATAATCATAGCCTATATTTGTATTTTATTTATATTCCTACCCCTATACAAAATGATTTGAAATGCTTAACATTTTACAGCTTATAAGATCTTTTTTAATACATTATTTGTTTAATTATTGAACAAATGCTTAGGTCATGATCAAGCTACAAGCTAAAGTCCCTGCTCTCATATTGTTTACATTCCAGTGGGGTAGACAGACAATAAAACTATAATTCTAGGTATTGGTAAGAGGATATACAAGGATAAAAAGTGGTGACTGAGGTGGTGGGTTGGGTTAAGATTGTGAGGAGGGAATATTTTAAGTTGGGTAACAGAGAAAGCCTCTTTGAGAAAGTTACATTTGCAGAGACCTGAATGAATAAGGAAATAATCCCTATAGATGTGGTGGTTAAGGTAAAGATAGGAGCAAGAGCAAAGGCCTTAAAATGGGAAAGGCCTTAGCATGTTTAAGGAACAGAAAGATGGTATATTGTGTTTGGAGTAAGTCCACAGGAAATAATTGTAAGAGATAAAGTTAAAAATCACCAGGCCTGATCATGTAAGGCCTGCTGGACCACAGTAAGGATTTTGAATTTTATTCTGAGTATGATAAAAACCTTTGAAGAATTGAGTGCAAGAGAGTGACATGGTATGATTTACATATTTAAGTGATTATTCGGCTGCTATGGAAACTGATGGTAATGAAGAGGAGTAGAACAAGTGCCCTTTGGAATGCTCTTGGGGTAATGCTCTTGTCTTCAGGGAAGACACAGTCGTAGTTTGGACTAGGTGGTTGTGATGGAAGAAATGAGAAGTATTCATATTCAGGTTATATTTTATAAAGGTGGAGCTAATAAATGCTAATTGACTGTGGGGTATGAGGAAAAGAATTAAGGAGAATTTCAAGATTTTTGCCCTTTTGATTGGTGTTGTCTGAGGTGGGGTAAACTAGTCAAAAAATAGATTTGTTTAAATTTGAGAGTTCAATTTTTGTTGTTTTAAACTTGAGATATTCATAGATAAATAGGTGCAGATGTCAAGTGGACAGTTGAATACTGGAATGGAGAGCTAATGGGAGAGATCAGGGGTAGAGAATATAGATTTGTGAAACATCAGCATAGAGCCAAGAAGCCTAAAGCCAGGGACCCTCGGAAAAGATGTGTGTATAGTTGAAGGAGCCCAGGACTGAATGCAGTCGTAAGCAGCATGTAAAGGTAAAGCTGAGTAGAAGAGTCCAGAAAAGGAAACTGAGGAGAAAGACTCTCCTGGAATGAAGAGAAATGTTTTCAAGGAGGGGAATCTACTTGCCCTCTCAGCAGCGTGTGCAGTTGATAGTTGAGATCATTGTTTTCACTAGAATGGTGGGAAGAAAAACCTGACAGGATTAGTTGAAATGAGTGTATGAGGTGAGCAATATGGTTATATGGCAGCACTAAATGACATCTGATTGTTTCTCTAATGATGAATTCTTACTCTTGCTCCATTTCATGTGTTATGCTAGCAACGTCTAAATAAATATTAGTAACATATTTCCAAAATTGGTACTTGCCTAATCAACTGAAGCCTGCTCTAAAGATGCCAAACTACTCTTCTGTTGACCTTGGTGAGATGCTTGTTTAGTTGGAGATTTTAAATAAAATGCGTGAGGCTTTGTACCCTCTTACTGAATGTCATTTTGAAACACATTATCTATTTCTGTTACTGTGTGCAGCATCCCTGCTGCTGTGATGGATTCTAGCAGTTACTCAGGAAATGCAAATAGGCTTTAGTCTAATACTGTGTTTACTGAGCTTTAAAAAATACATGGCAAGAAGATACAGTGGGAACAGCATCTTCATCTCAACTGCAGGCACAGACCCAACACTTAACGAAATCCAGCAATAAATCCAGATCCACTGTTTTGGTTGGTTGTTGTAGTTTGCCCTTACCTATAGCAGACAAGTATGGCTTCCACAGGTAAGGGCCCAAGGCATGTTAGGTCACTTTGACATGTAAAGCTTTAGCTCCTTTGGCCCACCAGTCTATTATGTCATTCTGGTCATACAGGCCTAAGGCCTGCATATCAGCTAGTAGTGGCTCCCACCCTGCAGCAAACAGGGAAACAGATGCAACCCTCCCCATTTGTCTTAACTGTCCAGTTTCCAAGAAAACCGTATTATGAAAGATTAAAGTTGTTCTTGGGCAGACCTACGTCATCCCAAGCCTCTTATTAAGCATTTGCTCATATACTCATTTTTGTGTCCCTCCCCCTAGAGAGTAAGATGACACCATTCAAATTTTTGAGTGACTACCATGTGCTAGGGACTGGTGATACATCAGTAAACAAAACAGACAAACTTTATCAGTCTTACATCCTAAGAATAAAGAATAAAAACATAGTTGTATTAGGTAATAGGTGTAATGGAGAAAAATAAGGCAAGGCACATTATATCGGTCCAGAAATTTGCAGTTTTAAATCTGGCTGTGGGAGGAGACCTCACTGAGGTGAAATTTGAAGATATCAGCAAGTGAGGAACAGGCCGGCCATGTTATCTAGGGGACAAGTGTTTCAGAGAGAAAAGCTAGTTCAAAAGGCCTTCTGTTAAGAGTTTGCTGTCTGAGTTTTAGGAACAGCAAGACCAGTGTTGCTGGAGCTGAGGGAACAAAGGAGAAGAGACCTGCAAAGTAACCTGAGGGACAGGCAGGGTTAGGAATTGCTGCCCAAGAAATAAACTCTGGGATAGGAAGGTCACCTGAAAGAGATGGCCACTTCTACAGCTTACCAGTTGAATTCTGCTTCTAGTGAGCAGAAATTAACATTTTAAAAAAATCAAAAATCTGTTATTTCATTAGAGATTGTAGTTTTAAAAATGTAACTTTCATTGAGATCTGAGATAAAGAATGCATCACCTAATCTTATACTTTTACTGACTTTAAGTGTAGCTTTGCGGGGATATAGATGTATATATATATTTTATTCTGTACTAGGATAATCAGGTCCTGCAATTTAAAAGGCATACAAAACTGCCAAGTATATGACATAGGAGGTAAATTATTTTAAAAGCAAAAGGCCAGTTAACAGAGAAGAGCTGAAATAAAATTTAAGTTTAAGAACTACAAGGCCAGTGAGTTTCCTCAAGCTAATTAATGAAAATGTCTGGGAAGTGTTCCCCTGAAAAATTTGCCATCTGGTAGCCAAATTTGAGTCTATTTTCCCTTCAGACAATTAAGGGTTAATTTAAATATTTTTCTAATTACCAGTTACTTGTGGTGACTTAAGTATTTATTCCAGTTCCAGGAATGGAAACAGAAAGTGGAAATCCAGAAAAGGCAATGGAAGAGGAAAGCACTGACAAGAAAAAAGAAGTAGAAAAAAAGAAACGGTCTCGAGTTAAACAGGTGCTTGCAGATATTGCTAAGCAAGTGGACTTCTGGTTTGGAGATGCAAATCTTCACAAGGATAGATTTCTCCGAGAGCATATAGAAAAATCTAGAGATGGATGTAAGTTTGCTTCAATATACGGTAGAAACACTTCTTTAGATGTGTTCCATTTGACTTTCAAAATTGTATCTGTACTGTGTACTGTATACACTACATATATTACTGTATTGTATATACAGTAATATAGTATATAGGTTAAGTACTATACTATTCACTGTGCCATCATCTGCAGACATTTTTCCTGAACTTTTAGCTTGACACTTTTCACTGGAAGTTGATGTGATTGTTATCACAGAAAATTATATTACATTAACTGTTCCCCAAGCTGTACCTTTCACCAGGTAATGTAGTTATATCGACCCCCTTGACATTTGCCAATGCCCCTCCCAACTATGTATTTCTAGGCTTAATGACAAAAGGACTCCTAAGTTATTCCAAATCAAAATGTGACCTGTTTTAATAAAAGAGGCATATGCTTAAGGGGTTAATTCACACCAGGGAATTTTACCTAGTAGTCCAAATCCCAACCTTTCCTAGTTTTAAGAGGGAAATGTGTTCAACTAGTGTTAATGTAACATGACAGTGAGCATGACTGTCACGTACGCTGCACCTAGAGAAAATTGAATTTATCCCAATTGGGCATTATCCTGCTTTTTGTTTATTCACTTTTGATTTCCACTAGATGTTGATATATCACTTCTCGTGTCTTTTAACAAAATGAAAAAATTGACCACTGATGGAAAGCTAATTGCCAGAGCACTGAAGAGCTCAGCTGTTGTAGAGGTAAGAATTGTTATTTTTTTGTGACTATATATTAAAACATACACATTAATATATTAAAACTCTATGTACCATTTTAAAGCTGGATTTAGAAGGCACGAGAATCAGAAGAAAAAAGCCTCTGGGTGAAAGACCAAAGGATGAGGATGAGCGGACAGTGTACGTGGTAAGTGATTTTGCTAGAAAAGCTCAGAGCTGATGTCCCCCAACTCCAAGTACAACAAACATTTTAATAGTCAAGTAAAAATTTATTGATCTGGGTTAAGAACTCTAACATTTGGCACTGCTTCTCATTTATCATAGGAATTACTTCCCAAAAATGTTAATCACAGCTGGATTGAAAGAGTATTTGGGAAATGTGGCAATGTTGTTTATATAAGCATACCACATTATAAATCTACTGGAGATCCAAAGGGATTTGCCTTTGTAGAATTTGAAACCAAAGAACAAGCAGCAAAAGCTATTGAGGTAGGTCCAGAACCTGAAAAGAAAAGCAAAGAAATTATTGGTTCTAAATAATAAAAACTTGTTTTGCCGATTTCAGTTTCTTAACAACCCGCCAGAAGAAGCACCTAGAAAGCCTGGTATATTTCCTAAGACAGTGAAAAATAAGCCCATTCCTGCCCTTGGAGTACCAGGTGAGTTATTTAATATTTAAGTAGGTATGGGAATAAAATTAGTAAACTAATTATAGCATTGTTACAGAAGAGAAGAAAAAGAAGAAGAAGAAGAAAGGCAGAATGAAAAAGGACAATATCCAGAAAGAGTCTAGTGTAGACACAAGCAAGGAGAGCGTCTGCAAAATGAAGAGATCCAGGATCACATCCGAGGGCTCTGAAGCAGAGATAACTGAACCCCAAAAGCCACCTTCAAAGAAAAAGAAAAAACGGGAAAAAGCTGAAGTATCCAGCTTACCCTTAGTCAGAACAGGGAAGAGAAAGAGAAGTAGTTCTGGAGATGCAGAATACTTAACTCCCAGATCTAAAGTGAAGAAAATGGGTCAGAAAAACATTAAAAAAGAAGCTTCAGAAGTCTCCAAAGAAAACAAAGGTATCTAGTAAATTTCAGGTTAGGATTAAGTAAATAAGGTTATTTCTTATCTTCATTTCTTGATTTTTAACTTTTGAGATTTAGAAGTCTCTACTGAGGAGGAAAAGGATACCGGAGATATGAAAGACGGATCACTCTTAAAGGCAAAAAGGAAACATAAGAAAAAACACAAGGAGAGGCATAAAATGGGAGAAGAGGTCATACCATTAAGAGTACTATCAAAGTAAGTTGATGTTATATTGTTTGCAGTTGACACACTCCATCACCATTGCTAAAGTGCAATTCCAATTTGTATTGAACAGAGTTGCATATTAGCAACAGTAATGGCCTGTAGCCAAGCTCTCTGCATAGTGGTAGTTATAACACAATAAAGAATTAAAAGGGAACCACCACACTAAAACATGGAAGCACTTATTTTTATCACGTCACCGCAAGTGCCTCCATGTTCAAGTAGAGAGTGTTCCTTAACAGATTTAAAGATCCAATTTAAGAATACTACCATAGACGGACAGTTCTGTGAAGTACTCCAGACGTCTTATGAACTTGTGAATTAAAAGGAAGACTTACCATCACTAAAACATGGAAGCACTTACTTTTTTTATTTCAAAGCAAGTACATCCACGTTTAAGTGGTGGGGAGCCCAGTCTTGGGAAGAGCGGGAATCAGGAACATCCTTTAACTTATAAACTTAGAAAATAATCTTGAGTCAAAACAAGTGGTGTGTCTGTTTGGAGACACCTCCACTGAAACATGGAAGCACTTACTTTCATTTTACACAGCAGGTACCCCCATGTTAAAGCAGAGGGTATCCCCTTGGCTCTACAAATAAGTAAGGCTGCCAAGTTGATCCAGGGGAATAATTTGGATTCACTTCTACTAAAACATGGAAGCACTTACTATTAAAAGTCACAGAAAGCACTTCCATGTTAAAGTTAAAGGGAGTCCATACACACTTGAGGGCTCAGAGTCCAAATAGAATGAAACAAAACGTCATACCTTTTGAAGAAAGTTTTTCTGTACCTTCCTGAATTTTAGTTTCCAAAGTGTCGTGTTCTCCTCCTGAAGGTTAAAAGGCAAGGACTTCAGGCACTTCTATTTATACTATTCTTAACTCCTGAATTCCTTTTGCCTTTTTATCTCAGAGAATCATTACAAGAGCCTTTTGTTATTCTAATGTATCAGCTCTCTGAGAATTACGATCCTGGGTGGGTCTGGATACTTTTTTTTTTTTTTGAAGTATACAGATGTCAATGTTAACAGCTAAAACCATTACCAAAAGATATCCTCCCCTTAAAAAAAAATCCCCTGCTTGCTTGATGGCATAGATTAGGGTAACAATGAGTGCTCCTGTGGAGCCAGAAGAGACATTGTGTTTCTATCTAGAGGAGCTCTAGCAGTTTGAAGAAACATCTACATGTTAAATATATGTAAATAAATAAATTGCTTCCATGGGGTGGTATTTTCGTCTTAGAAATTCCTTTTGATTCGAGTAAATGCTGAGGAATGTTATCTCTCAAGTTGGAAGCAGTTTAACAAATAATCTTTAAATTTTAGTCTCTCATTTTTGTTCAGAGAGGACTGTTATAGTAAATGTTACTAGTTAGTTAATTCTAAACTTTTATTTTCATAAATTCGATTACGGAAGCATACTCAAGAACTGAACTGGCAAATTTAAAACATTTAATCTGAATGTTGGGGAAAGGGGGATCCCCCTTTGCTTTGCTAGATAGACTTAAAATTCAGGAAATAATTTGAGTGTATGTGTTTAAAGAAAGAAAAGCTGGGAGGAGGAATGGTTGCAAGTCACAGTGAGTATGTATTTAGATAATTAATTTTTATTTAATCATCTTTTGTCACTATTTCAAAAGTCAATTTTTTTCATTATAGGAGTGAATGGATAGATTTGAAAAAAGAGTATTTAGCACTGCAAAAAGCCAGCATGGCTTCCTTAAAAAAAACAATATCCCAAATAAAATCAGAGTCGGAAATGGAAACAGACCATGGAGTACCTAATAAGTCTGGAATGAAAAATGAGAAAGGTAAGCATTGTGATAGCTTTTATAGCATTATATTGTACTTATAACTATTTCTGAGTTATTATAGGAGAAACTTTAATTTTTAAAACTTATTTATACAATAAATAAAACTTATTTAACAATTAGAAAAGAATTATTAAAAATAAAACTTATTTTAATTTTTAAAAAATTATTTAACAATTATTAGAAAAATTGATTTCTCCAGTTGTCCAGATGTGATTTATTCTTGATATAAAAATATATTTAAGACTGTTAAACAATTTCTTATTTTAATCACACAAGTTTTCTCTGCAGTTTTCATTATTTATCAGATTTAGTAGAGGGTGCCTAGTTGACAAATTGAGCAAGTTTGTAGAAATAAAGACTAATTTCACACCTGTGTTTTAATTCCATAGTATTACCTATAACTAGGAACAAAACAAGATTCTTATAAAATCTTCAATATTAGGGTATATTTCAAATTCCTATAAATTAAAAATATAAATGTTCACATTGAATCAATACATATGTAGAATATTCTTATATATTATCCTATGCCTGTTTATTTTATTTATTTAAGTAGAGTACTTTGTTACTTGATTCAGATAGGGAAAAGGAGCTTTTTAAGGTTTTACCATGCTCTTCTACCAGTAAGTTTGCATTTGGGATAATGAGTTTTGTATTTTATTTCATAGTACTCTGCAATAAACAGTATGACTTAAACATAATTTTCTTAATAATCACTTTAATTAATTATTTTACAAGTACATTTTAAATCAAGTAAATGTAAATTACTTATATCAGCCTAGAAAATCATTGTTGGTATTCTAAACTGGGCCTTCTAAATATTAATTTGTTAAATGTAAGAGACTTTTTTCTGGTCTTTTCCTTTGCAAACCAGCAGCAAACAGTGAAGAGTGTTGTCCCCAGGAGAAGGTTAATACAGCAGGACCACAGTTTGTGAGTGGTGTGATTGTGAAGATAATCAGCACCGAGCCTCTACCTGGCAGAAAACAAGTCAGGGTAATGCTTCTGAGTCCCCATGGTAGTTGGTCCCCCTTCCTCTTAAAAACTCTCCCTTGTGAAAATGTTTTGAATACCGAAAACAAATCAAATTAGAATTTATTCTTCTGTGGCAAATTGCTTCTACAGTTTTGATTTCATAGTAACTCAAGTTTGACATGAAGCAGCAAAATCTAAAGACTGAATTTTCTCACTGGATCAAATTTACAGTGAGCAAGCACACTTTAAACGTCCTTCCATAAGAAAACTGCAATTTGTGCTTATTTTATTGGTGCTTCTAATGGTTTTGTGTAGTTGACAGAAGAAACCGTACTATAGTCATTATAACTAATTGAGTAGATATAGTAAAATGCTTTTCTCAGTATTCATTTTTTAGGGATTTCAGAGAAAATGGACTTTAGAAAATACTTAATGTCAAAACTTTTAAAAAGATTTAATCAGCATCACCTGCTGTTGTCTGGTTTTGGAGGGAATTAGAGAATTTGTAGTTTGTTTTCACTAGAGCTCATAGCTTTCAATAAATAACTAAAAGAATTTGTGACCTAAGAAAGTTGAAACTATTTTGGAATAAAAGGCATAATATGCATATTTTTCACATACAGTGCATTTTATTTTTGTCTGTTAATGAATCCTCTTGGGAAATGAAATTTTTTCCTCAATGGTATGTAGGATTTGGGTGTGAAAAGAGTCTTCTTTAGTTCTATCTTTTAAATTTTTTTGGTACTTTCAATCCATGTCAATTGTTTTAAAAATTTGAAGAAATTACAGAAACTTATAAAGTTCTTTGAAAAGCTGCACAAATTTTGCATGCATGTGCAAGTAAATCCCACATACTCTTCTACAATCTTCTGTTTTCACTTTATATAGCTTATCTTACAGTTTATACCAATGCAACAATGTTTGTTATTGACATATTCCTTTGGGTGAAAATACCATATCTTATTTACTTAGTCTATCACCCAAATTTAGGTGAGATACTTTGTTTTTAAACTATGTAAGATGTTCTATAGCATAGCAAATATATTTCACATTGTTATACTAACATTAAGCACCATGTCTTATATTTTTAGTTTTCAGACTTTTACCAGTCCACCTTTTTTAACTTGTATAACCACTGAGGTTGCTCACTGTAATAATATGTACGTACTCTTTATCTGAAATCCTATCCTAAAATCCAGTAGCTGTCACTAACATACAGATTTAGATTCTCTTTACCATGTTGAGAAGGGATTTGATGAATCCAATTTGGTATTACCAGTTTTAACTTCAGAGTATGGTAGCAGTATAGAATTTCAAATAAGGATTAAAAAAATTGAGGATGTAACTGATGTTATGATTAGATTACAAAATATTTAATAGAAAAATTAAAGTGATTTGGAATGACTGATAACTTTTTATGCTATTTATCAAATAACTTTTATTATCTACATTGTAATTTCATCAACTACAAATTCTTCTATGATCATCAAATCATAAAATAACTGCATTAATCAACTTAGTAGTTACTTAAATTTTGCTGGAACAAAATTGAGCTAGGGTAATGGTCCCTGCTGTCTGTGACTTGCCCATGTGATTACCAGGCTTATTTGTCATTCTAAGAAGGATTTAAATCTGGAGATTAGCCTGACATTATAATGGATATTAAGTAAATATCTTTTGAGTTGTAGTAATCTAATCTGTCTGATAAATCAGTTACAAAACTCTCACAACTACCAGTGGAAGAATTGGCAAGTATATTTCTAGTTCTCTTACTTTTTTCATTGAATTAGCAAACATTTAGATAGTATGCTAAGAGATGGGATTTAAGACTTAGTTCCTGGTTTTTCAGACTCGCAGGTTTTTACTACTTATTCTTTGTTATTAACTAATGAACTTCTCTTATTCTATAATGGAATAATATATCCATGTATTGCTTGGTTCTTTCTGTAATTCAAACTTCTTAAATCCAACACCTTAAAGTAATCTAAATTACTTGTTGCTTGAAATTTTGGATCAAAAAAGCCAGATGGATAAAATGCTTTTTTTTTCTAATTGGAATCCCCAGTATTTCTTTAGTTTTAGAATGGAAGTTGATGAATTAAGAATTAGTGTAACATTCCTGCATAATTGCATGGTAGACACTGTAGAACCTGCTGTGAAAAAAAAAATGATTAGGAATGCAGGAATCTTGTTAATTTGCCCTCACAGCAGGCATTATAGGTAAAACTTTTCCTTGCTGGGTGACTGCAACTTGTTTAGAAGAGGTTACTTAGGTATTTTATCAGAAAGTAAGAGCTCTTGAGCTATATTCCCAGAGTCACTCAGGAACCTGGGATTTTTGTAGGTTCTGATGAAACTTCTTTTTCCCCGAGTTGTTACAAAAGGGTGAATTTTTTAAACATATTTTACGTGATAAGTGATTTTGTGCAAGTTGAGTGGAAACACCTTCTCTTTCAACCTGTTTTTTTATTTTAATTTTATTCCTTTAACTGCACTCTGACTTTGGACCCCTCTTTTTGATTTGAGGGTAGGGGGGCGTACTTGTACATTCTGCTCCACAAATCTGTTGCCCCTATGCAATATTCCCATTCTAGTTAAGATTTTAAGATTGTTGTTGAATAGAAGAAACTAAGTTATGACTAGAGCTGATGTTAAATTGCTTCTCAACTTTGTGTCAATTTTTAAGAGCTTTGAGTATTATCTTAGAAGAAATATTTGATGTAGGATAGTTACTCTGTATTTTAAGCTACATGTGGCTTATTTATATATAATACATTCTGACACAACCATTGGAATAATTTTTAGAATTATTATGAAACATTTTTATTATTTATTTTAAGTCTTTCCTAACTCTAATGCAGGATACTTTGGCAGCTATCTCAGAAGTTGTTTATGTTGATTTGCTAGAAGGAGATACAGAATGCCATGCTAGATTTAAAACTCCTGAAGATGCTCAAGCAGTAATAAATGCATATATGGAAATTAAAAAGAAACACTGCTGGAAACTCGAGATCCTTTCTGGTAAAGCATTATTGAATCTTTTTTTTTTTTTAACAATTCTTGTGAGGGTATTTGTATTTTCTGAGTTTGGCTAATTAGTATTTCTTTTTCATCTGTGCATGAAGTAGGTGAATATAATCAGATAACTGTTCTATTATTAAGAATGTAATTCCTTGAATGTCTTTTCATGTGTATTTTTGAGTTATTACTGTTTTTGTTTGTTTAAGGTGATCATGAACAGAGATACTGGCAAAAGATTCTGGTAGATAGGCAGGCCAAACTTAATCAGCCTCGTGAAAAGAAAAGAGGCACTGAGAAGGTAATCAATTCATTTTGTTTTTTGTTTTTTGGTGTGGTTTTGTTTTTTTTTTGTAGCCTAAGCTTTTCAGAGGTTGAATGTCTAAAGTCAGTAGTGGGTAATCCTAAAATAATGTTGGTTTTGCTGTACGTAACAAAGATTTTCATGGTATGTATTGCTGTTAAAATTGAGAAGTAATACTTATTTCTCTCGGTTTTAAAATACACAAAATTAGAATTGTATACTCCAACCATGTTACATACTGCTAAAGTTTTTTTTCCTTTTTTTAAATTAACTAGTGATATAATTTAAATTTAAACAGTCTTGACTTCTTTCTGATGTGTTTTGTAGTTTGGTGGTAAATGATTACTTAAAGATTGCCTTAATGGTGAAAACACAATGTACTTAGGGTGTAGTTTTTAAAGATATGAGCCTCCAAGATAAGATTGAGAAACTATACAAGACATTCCCTATACCAATTATAAGCTTTATTCCTTTATTTTTCTAGAATAGTCATCAAGTGATATAAGCAAGTTTAAATACATTAAATAATTATAAAACTATTCTCTTTCAATAATTTTATCTTAAATGGTCCTGAATAATTTATCAAATATTGTTATGAGCTATCAGGTTTATTATTTTAAAACAAATTTTTATACATGTAGAAGTTAGTACATCTTAGAACAAAATAGGGCACATAATAACTAATATTACTACTAGCAAAATTTTAAAATGTAGATTATACAAGTCAGAAAAATCTACAAAGATGTACATCCTTTTATGATTGGTTAGCACTAAAAAAGTGATACTTCCTGTATTCTATGTTTGTTGATTTGGGTCATACTTATATAATTTTTGTTTTTTCAATTAAAAATCAAGTTTTTTCATCAGTCTTAGAACATCAAGGATTCATTGGAATAGATTATTTGAGAGAGGTTTCCTTAGTCTTTGTTAATTCTGTTTCCATAATGCAGGTTGAATTTGCTGAGATGGGGAGGCTTCCTTCCTTCCTTCCTAAGAACTCTTTTCAGGTCTATGAGTTGTAAATCTCAATGCCTGTGTGAGATTATTTATATGTTAAAATCATTCACCCAGAACTCCCAACTGAAACGAAATCACTTTGTTATATAACTTTACCCTTACAATTGGTGTGAAATTTCATTTAAATTGTATATTTTTTAAAACTAGGAATTAGTAATTTTGTTTTTCCATAAAAATCCCATCTCCATAAATTAAATTTGAGGCAAGGAAATAAACATTGACTAGGGAATTTTATAAATTAGGTTGGAACACAATGATTGGTTCTATCATTGAGTTGAAGAGTTCTTGTCCTGGTTTCATTTACCTGTTGCACCATCAGGCTTGTTCATTAACATGATTCGTTTAATAAACAGAAACCCCTGAAAGTATAGGATTCTAGCTGAAGCTATGGAAGTAGCTAGTTGGCTTATCTCAAGAAATGAAAACGATACCACACAAAGTAGGGACTATAGAAGCTTTTCAGAGGAGAGGGATAAACCATAATTAGCTTGTTAACTTACCTTTTTCTTAATTCATTTAATTAATATTTTTTGATTGTCTGTGTTAGCTACTGTTCTGGGGACTGCAATACAGCCATACATAACAAAGTCCCCTGTTTTCATGAAGCTTACAGATAAACAATATAAAAGTCAGGTGATGACAACTGCTGTGCAGAAAAGTCATATGAAAAGGTATTGTGGGATAGCTTTATATCAGATATGGTTGTCTGGGAAGTTCTCCTCTGTAACAGTGACTTTAGGGAAGTGGGCAGACAAGCAAGTGAAGTTCAGATGCAGAGTTTTTCCAGGCAGAAGCAATAGAAAATGCAGAGGCCTTGAGAGGAGATTGTCAAAGTGGGAGGCCAGTATAGATGGAGTACTAGGAGCAAGTACCTTAGTAATGGGAGTTAAGTATTAGAAAAAATTAGCCGAATGTATGATATGAATACCTATTGACATGACAGCCCAATGTTTCCACAGTAGTATTTTATTTGGTAGGATTATATTATTGAGTGAAAGAAAAGCACTAATTAAAAATCCCTTTTTTTTTTTCACATTATGGAATAGAAGGATACTGGGAACAATTTCCTAAGCCCCAGTTAGTTTATAAAGAATTAAAAGAGAAGAAAAAAAGAATGGTAAAATTTTTATTTTCTACATGTGACATTTTTATATACAAAAACCAGGTACGGGCAAATTAAATTTAGATGTCTCACAAAATATCAGTAAGATAAAGAAAAAATTCTGCCAAATGGGATCTAACTCATTCTTGCTATTCCAAATCTTTGTATTGTACCTTATTACTTTGAGCACATTGGTAAACAGGTGACCACTACTGGAGACAGAATGAGGCTTTTCTCCTTAGCTTTCAAAGCATATTTGAATTTTTTGTTGTTTTTATCAAAATAGTCTTTACAAATTACTTATAATGTCAGATATTCAGCACCTAAAGGAGAATTCATATAGTTTGTGAACAGCATATTGGTGTGACAAAGTTTTAAACACTTGTATTTTGACTCATCTCACTGCTGAATAGGTTTTTAGTTTAAAAGTGATTCCCTACAAAAATAACAAACACAGGGTCACCCTATTTTTGGTTCCAAAGTAAAAAAAATATAAGAAATACTTAAATGTCCCATAAACCTGGACTTCTATAGGAATAAACCCTGATTCTAGCTTTGCTAATTCCTAATGACCTTTATGAATGTAATCCTCACGTTGTGGTAGTCACTGTTTTCTGTCATAAACAATTTGGAGACTTCGGCAACTTTTGAATTTTTTTTAAATACTTTGTAACTTTCCAGCCATTCTCTAAAGGCTGAGTCACACTCTTCACAAGTAAGCTTATGTTTCAGTAAACATTTTAAGAAACTGAAAAATAAATAAAAGTGACTTCCTGCTAATGGCCATATGTCACAACTTTAAAGAAACTATTTTAATGACTGCTCATTAGAATCTGTATCTCTAAGAGAATAAGATTTTCATTTCTCGCAAAGCTAGATAAGAAAGCTAAAATTTTTCCATTGAGAAAGGTTTTGGAATATTTAGACATTTTAAATGGTCTTCTACATTCCATATAATTTCATTTGTCCTCTTTAAAACTATTGAAGTATTTATGTTAGGTGTAATAAATAATAAGTACTCTTAATAGCAGATCCCACAGAGAAGACAGGTAGTGACTGTAGCATCTTACTATGCTGATGGAGACTGACTGCAGTGGGGTGGGTGAGGGGGACTTGATAATATGGGTGAATGTAGTAAGCACAATGTTACTCAATTGAAACCTTCATAGGATTGTGTATCAATGATACCTTAGTAAAACACACACACACACGAGTTAGAATATTGTGAATGGTTCTGGTGGACCAGAGCTGGTCAAAACAGAGGAGATTAGGGCCACCATAGTATCTAAGACAATCTGTATAGCCTTTTGCTTCATGTAGAATTTTGTGTGTTTTCTGTGCCCAATTATGATAAAATGGAATTATACATACTGTTGCAAAAATAACCTCTATGTTAAATAGGACTTAGGTTTTGTAATAACACTCAGATGTGCTGTAAAGAAATACAACATCAAATAGGAAGCAATTTGAAAGTTGTGAGAATTAATCTTATAATAGAGAACTACTTTACCTTGAATTTTTTTGTCAACAAAATGAAAACAATTTCCCTGAAAAAAAAAATAGATCCTTATTTGGAATATGTGAATTTTCAAATGTTTAAGCAATTTGTAAGCAAACCTTTGTTTAGGACTCACCCCAAAACATGCTGTCTAATTCAAATAATACATGGATTCTCAAGCATAATATAATTACTAAGAACTACATGTCATTTAAGAAATGTCTTGGTAATTAATACTCATTCCTAAGGGAATAGAAAACAACTAACAAATAAAGGTCTTGAACTCTGTTAAAGGGTTTAAAAAATTGCCAGTGTGAAATGGCCATTTTCAATTGAAAATTTTTTAGTACTTTGGAACTAAAATGGGAAGGTTTTTGGATAACCCGAAGATTTAATATTTGTTATACTTAATAAGCCATTGTCTAGACAGTTCTCTTTGTACTTGATTTGACCTAAGCTAAATTATCTCATTTGTCTACTCTTCCCCTTTTTAAAAAAATGTTTTTCAAGCTGATAGTTGTAAAATTTTTATAGTAATTTTCTTTTTGTTTTAGGTATCCAATACATTCTAATTTCTGATTTTTTTCTCTGTAGTTAATCACCAAAGCTGAAAAGATTAGACTTGCAAAGACTCAACAAGCAAGTAAACACATTAGATTTTCTGAATATGACTGAAAAAACTTTTGGTTCACCTCTTAAAATTTCACTGGACTTGAGCTGATCTTACAAAATCCATTTTTATTATGGCAGTAATGCATAATGAATGTTTTTCTAAAACCTATATTCAATTAAAAGAAATATCTTTGTTCCTTAACTCATATATAAGACCTTTTTCTATAGACAAGTACATTGTATACTATCACTTTTCACTGAACATTTTATTTGTTGAAATTTATCTTACAGAAAGCAACCTCAAAGTGACAGTAAATAAAAGCATTTTGAACATTTTCATTAATTTTGTTTTTAATGCTACAAAGACAATATATTTTCAAATACAATACTACATAAATATATAGTTTAGAAAAAATGTTTAACAGTGGACTCTCACTGTACTTATTTGTGGCTTTTTCTATTCCAAGTATCTTGAGTATCGCTTTGTTAATTTATGCAGAGGCATGTGTGTGATGTTTGTTGTGCTTTACCTATCTGAGCTTCCTTTGAGCACACATAAGAACTGTTTCCAATTGAAATTTGTTAAAATTTTTAAGTACTGAGTTTGTTTTTCATAAATGAAGTTAACTAAATAAATGAAGTCAACCAAATAAATGAAGTCTAACCAAAATAAAATGTACCAGATGCTGTGAATATGGAAAAAAAAAAATCTAGGAATCAGCCTCAGGCATAACTGAGGTCTATGATTTTATTCAGAAAAATCACAGACTGGAGCATTTAAGGCCTTCACAGAACTGAATCTACTGGGTCTATGTATGACTGGCTTCTTAGTGTCTTATTAGAATATCAAGAAAGTACTCTGAACAGGGACACCATGGGATTCATTTCCTAGGGCTACAAACCGATTCCTAGTTCCATCAGTTTTGTACGGAAGTGGGGGACCTAATTTGGCTGCTCTTTCTGTGCTTTGTGGAAAGCCTACAATCAGGAATCTATTCACTTCTTTGGGCCAGAGATTTTGGAAGATTGGCTACCTTACTAGCTGGGTGACAACAGCTTATTACTACCAAAAATAGGTATCCTGGCAAATTGCCACTGACACACTCATTTTTCTCCATGAAGAAAAGCTAGCATATATACTCTTGGAGGAAAAGATCTGTGAATAGTTGCTGAGGTCTTTTATGAAGATTATGACTAAATATACTCCAGTTGATCCCAAGTAATCAAAAGCAGATGTATATTTCAAGAATTGAGTTGATCTCAGTGAGTACTGTCTTAAGGTGACTTTGAAGAAGTTACCAAGTAAGATTTCAGAAATTCTCCCCTTGGCAGTTACTAAACAAGATAAGCACACACTCAAGTATCTTTGAACACTGTTGTAGCACTTGGGAGATATTAGTGAAGCAAATCGAAGATCTCACTTTTGTGGAGCTTACGTTCCAGCAATAGATAGAGACAATAAACAAAAATAAGTGAAAATTACAGTTTGTTAAATAAAGTCCATAGGATAAATCAAAATAAAGGAGAAACCCCATTAGTTCATTCCTTCATTTATTCTTCATTTAATTAAAGGGATATTTATTTAGCCCATGGCAGATATCAGATACTGATACCAAAGACATTAAAGATAAAAAGAAAAGATAAAGTCCCCTATCCTTGAAGAATTTATAGCCTTGGGAAAGACAAGTCAACATATAATTGCTGTACAATGTAAGTGATGTAACAAGTTACTCCAGATTATACTGGATGCTGTCCTCAAAGCAAAATCAATTCCACATGACCTTCCAAGGTTTCTGAACCTTTGATCTTTTGGGTAAGTGTATCCCTTATCCAACACTTAGCACATAGTAATTGCTTAATATTTGTTTTAATTGAGTGAAATTGAATGTGTACTTCAGGATGTTCCCCAAGGACATGTTATGATTTAATCCCATAAAGGATATTTTTCAAATTGCTCATTCAGTAGTCACATTACTTTTTTAAAAGGGCCTACTACATACTGGTCTTTGTACATGTCAGTGGGATTTGCTTACTTAACTCTAAAACTAATTTTATTTAAGCACCTTGCAAGAAGAGCTCAGAACTACTTTCATAAAGAGAACCATATTGGCTCTTTTCTGTTACATGTTAGTTGTGTCATCTCAGTGAAGTAGGTACCCTTATTATCACTACTTTAAAAAGAAGGCACTGAAGCACTTGCCAAAGGTCATCATAATAGCTAACTAGTCTGGGATTTAAACTCAATTTCTCTAAATCTGAAGACCACACATTTAACAACTATGATAACCTTCATCTCTACCACCCTCTATCCCTACCTGCTTGCCTCCCTTCTTTCCTACCAGTGTTTTGCATCTCAGAGTACTGTAAGCTATGCATCTATTGCACTTGTCTGCTCTTTTTTGCTACTAAAAGCAATGCCAGTGAACATGACATCCACCTTTACTGTGTGTGAATGAGTCTGCAGGATAGATTTCTGACTGGAATTGCTGGGGCAAAGATACATTTTATTTAGTGTCCAAAATAGTCCAAAAATGCTGTACAAGTTTAAGGGTACATTTTAGCTTTTTTGTGTGTGTATTAAATTCATTAATACAGGAGCTAATCAGTCTTTTTCATTTCTACTGATCTTTGAGAGGTGAAAGTATCTCATTGCTGCCTTCATGTGAATCTCCCTAATTAAAAGATTGAGTACTTTCACAGGCTTGTTAAATATTTGTATGTCCTCAGTGAATTTTCTAAGTTTTTTAAAGGCTAGAGATTTTTTTTAATGGTCAGTATGCAGGAGAACTTTTCATACTATTAACATATACCTGTAAATATATTTTCCCACATTGGACCACTTGGCTTTCAGGTTACTTTATTGTACAGTTATTGTATAGATATTTTATATTTTTACAGAGCCATATCTTCTAATCTGCTTTTAAAATAAATTTTTTTCCCAGTCTGGGAATTATGATTCTAGTCTGTCTGTACTTCATTTCTTATTTTCTAATGTCCAGAAGACTGGGTAGAAGCAAGGCTCTTTCTTGAGTTAGTGTGAGTATGTTTGTTCTTTGCAGCCTTAAAGCAATACTTTCTTTGAAAAATAAATCACATTTTATTTCTTAAATGCCTTGAGAAGTTTGTAATATAAAAGAGCAGTTGGAATGAAAAACTAGGAAGGAGTCACACTAGGAAAGAGTAAACACTATCACTTGTACTTATTCCCCACCTATATAGTTAGCAGAGATCATGAAGTTTTATAACTGCAGCCTTATTGAAGATCTCAGTAAGCAGCCTTTTTCTTTTGTGAATGCTCATTACTTGATAAAAATGTGTTTAAAATATAACCCTTAACACATTTCAGTTGTTTTGAAATGAATAAAACAATCTGACAGTAATGACTTCATTACAAATGTATAGAGAAAGAAATTACTATGTTTTCATGGGGAGACGATAAGATGCATGTGTAGAAAAAAAAGCCAGTTTCTTTTGTGTCCATAAGAGTAAGCCAAGCATACAACAGCATGCAAATTTATAGAACAATATTACAGTTAGGTTTTTCATTAATTTCATTCTTGGAGTTACCTTTAGGGATTGATGTAGGAGCAAACGGGTACTTCTTTAGAATGATGAAATCCCAAAGATTATATAACTTTTTTCTCTAAAAATGTCATTAATTTATAATTACTTAAAGCTGCACTGCCCAATACACATGAGGCTATTAAAACACGTGAAATGTGTCTAGTCTGAATTGAAATGTAAGTATAGAATACATACCAATTTTTTGAAGACTTGGTAAAATAATGTCATTAATAGTCTTCATATGGGAAACATTGTAATTTTTTTGTTGATTGTATTAAAGTATATTACTAAAATTAACTTTACCTGTTTATTTTTACTTTTTTTAATGTGGCTACTAGAAAATTTTAACTGACTTAATGTGGCACTCACTGCATTTCAGTTGGATAGTGCTGTCATGGAGGAGCCAGAGTGCAGCCAGAATCAGTGGCAGCGTTTATGGTAATAGCTTACACTGGCTCACTGGTATTGAAGAATCAAAGTATAAACACTTCTGTCTTTACAAAAGGTTTAGCTGATGCCAGAAAAAGAAAAAGCAATTTTATGTCTTGAATCTGTTTGATAAGCTTTGTTCTCTTGTATGGAATAGATCTGCATTTGTATTTCCATAAGTCTCTAGTGGTATGACTAAATAAAAGTTGTCAAGATTTAAGAGTTTTTTATTTTCCTATACTTGAACATTTCATGGAATTACTTAGAAATTAACCATTCAAACATACATCTGCCTGATCCTTATAAAGTAATATATACAAAAATGGGATGGTTATTTAATAACTTCTTATCTTGTGGGTTTACTAGTGAATTCATTGTGCATTCGATAAATTAGATTTTGAACTAGATGGGTATGGTCAAATAATAGTATACACTTCATCATATTTACCTAAAGTAGTATAAAATCCGTTCTTTTGTTGCAATATAAATCTCAGAGCACAAGTTAAAGTGTGAAATTAAACTTTATTTTCCTATAATTGACCTTAATCTCTACTTCAAGCCCTGCATCCCACAAAGGGCTAATAATAATCTAAGTCAATTTAGGGTTCTCTCTCCAAAATTCTGGAGGCTTATACAATACCAAGTTAGTGGGGACTCATTTGTTTCCAGACATATATCTCAGATGGCCACTGTCCTAATTAGTTCCAAGTCATGAATTCACTCCAGGTGGGTAGGAATGCTTTGTTCCTGCGTGCTTGGCCCAGTGGGTTTCATGCTTTTTCCAGGCCATGCACAGGGCACAAGAATAACTCCAGAACTGTGTGCTGTGCTGTAACTTGCTGTGGATCAAGCGAAGGTTCCTATGGCCAGGATTCTCCCCTGGCCCTGGTTGGCTAGCTCACTACACCCATATGGGCAATACGTTGTTATTGACTCTATATAAAAGAGCCCTGCTCAGTACCCTGGGAGACACAGTGGCATGGCTGCAGGCTGCAGGAGAGCAGAGCAGAGGCTGGAGTGGTGGCAGTGCCAAGGACAGAGGCCCAGAGGACGGCCTTGTGGGCCGAGAGGCCCAGAGGCAGAGACCAGCTTGCTGCATGCAGACTCGCTCTGAGTGAACGGAATTTTAGTGATTGACCTGCCACCATGGAAATAAAGTTAGATATAACTCACCCCAAGAACGTTCTACTGTCATTTTTTTGGTTTCACTGAATCCATAGTGAACTTGCCCGGGGCTGAAACCTGTGGGCAAGACAGTTGCGCAGATCGTGAAGTAAACACTCAGTGATTGCTGATTCAGTTTTCTTCACTTTCCAGAGTAAGGATAGATGAATAGAAGACCCAGCAATGTAGTTACAGTAAGTGAAAAGTATTTCAATGTATTCAAGGGCAAGTGAGAGGAAATGGTATTATTTAAGATTCTTTTGATTGCAAGAAATAGATTGATTGCTGATTCAGTTTTCTTCACTTTCCAGAGTAAGGATAGATGAATAGAAGACCCAGCAATGTAGTTACAGTAAGTGAAAAGTATTTCAATGTATTCAAGGGCAAGTGAGAGGAAATGGTATTATTTAAGATTCTTTTGATTGCAAGAAATAGAAACTAACTCTATTATGCTAACAGAAAATATTATTGCATGGATACAAGGAAGGCTCTGAAATCTGAGGAGAAACTAGATGAATAATAAAGCCTCAAAAAGCAGGAGCCCAGACAGCTCTGGACCTCTTGACAGTAGGTGTTCCTAAAGAGACTACTGCAGGGTCAGTTGATATTCAGTTGACTCAGCAACAAGCCTCTCCAGCCCCATGAACTCTCAGTTAAAAATTACCAGTTCCCAGGAGACAGAATGTGATGGACCAAGCTTGGGTCAGGTGTTTTCTTGGATCAATCGGTTGTAGCAAAAGGAGGAGATTCTCTGCATACTCAACACTAGGACTACAGGTTTGGGATAATTTCTTAAAGAGGGCAAAGGTGATTAACCAAGCTCCTATCCCACATAGTAGTAGAGTTGAGAGAATAGCACATGTGTAAGTACTAAAGAAGGACCTTGCCTGGTGTGTTTGAGACACAGTGAAGAATCTCAGCAGCTGAAGAAGTTGGTAAAAAGAGTAGGAAAAGATAAAAGAATGGAATAGGTTGATATGGATCAGTCCATAGAAATTTTTCAAATGTCAGACTCAGGGGTTTGTCCTGTAGGCAGTTGAAGACTTTAAACAATGGAAAGTTATCATGAAATAGTCTCATAAAACCAACATCAACATTAACGATTTGAGTAAAGAAGGAATATATGTCAGTGAAACAAGATTAGAAAACCACTAGAATATTTCAGTCATGAAGAAATGGAGTGCAGTGAAAATGGAAAGGATGTTATGAATGCGAGGCCTGGGTGAGAGGAAAAGCTGGCAATCCTTGGTGGCTGATCAGATATAAATGTTGATGAAAATGGAAAATCCATAACTACCTGAGGTTTTAGGCTGTCTGGTAGAACACAAGTTGATTTTAAGAAAAAAAAAAGATTGAGAGTTGATTTTCAGGAGGCTGGCTGGTGGGGCCGAGTGTGATTGTAAGCTTTTTAATATGTGTTAATTTGACAGTGGAGTTCTGAATGGACATGTTCTACAGACTGTTGGACCATAAGGAACTACAGTCAGTAATTCAGATACTAGCAGGAGGCCTAGCAAGCAGGGGACTTGGACTTCTCCTCAAACAGCTGGGCATTGGAGCTGTGATACTCGAGCTGCACTCTGGAGAGGATAAGGAAAAGTTATACATGTCAGTCATATATTTGTAACTATTATGTATTTCATCATCTAAATATGCAAAAGCACAACTAAAAACTCAATAAAACTAACCTAACTAATCACTCTATGTTGCATAAAGCACCAGAGTTTGAGTCTTACAAACAGCAATTGCACTTACACCTATCTCTTCAACTTCATACTGAAGTATGTGCACTGCAAACTGTAGTTTAAAGTTTAGTAAAGATGGATGGAATTTTACAAGAACACACATGGGTAACCAGCACCCAAATAAAGAAACGGCTTATTATAAGTACCCAGAAACCCTTCTTCCAGTCACTTCTCCCTCCCCCAAGGTTGGACTCTTAACAGCATAGACTACTTTCACCTGATTTTGTGCTTTATTTAAACAGAATCAAACATGTAGTTGTTCTTTTGTGTTACCAGTTTGCTCATTCCAGATTTGTTTCTAAAAGAAAAACCCTAATTCATCAAAAATGGGTTAGTTGTTTACATTATGCTACATTTATACAATTGAATACTTTGCAGTAGAGAAAAGATGTCATGTCAGTAATATAGTGTAAGCCCATCTGGGTAAACATATTCAAGAGAACACATCTGCCTTAAGAAAACGTTGTATGTGCTGTTTTGTACACTAAACACATTTTAGAATAATGTACAGAAAAATGGTATCAATAATCTCTTTGGTGAAGAATTAAAGGGAGACTTTTCTATGTTCTGTTCACATATTTTAGTAAACATGCATTCCTCTTATTTAATTTTAAAAATATGAATAGAAAGTTGAAGAATCCTCCAAATAACAATCTTCATGTTTAATATGAGATCCCTTGTTGACATCTGTACAATAATCAACCCTTGAACTTAAATTACAGTATTGAAAAGTGTCTGAGATTCTAGGAGTAACTGGTGACCCACTTAAAATTGTTAGTTTAAACTTTGAACCAGGCTGTTTTCACAGTCATCATTTTCAAACTCCTAGAATAAAATTGAACTGATAATTAGTATGCATATCTATTACTCAGGAAATCCAAACACTTTTAAAAGAAAGTAATGGAAAAAACAAAAAGAAAAGAATGTTTGAGAGCTTTAGTTGCTATTACTAAGGAAACCAACACTATTTCCCCTGTCTCTAGATTTAAAAAAAATAAGCCAAAAAGTTTGACAAAGAATAAAGAAGAAAGGCTAAATAAAGGAATGAAGATATGTTTTTTAATTATCTCAAGTACTGAAAAATAACATTAAAGTTTTAATTCAAAAAACATCTTCTTTAATTAAAAAAAATAACTCCTGTTATTATATTTCAGTTTCATAAATAACAAACTCACTGAGGAAAAAATTAGAAAATATGTAAGAACAAAAAAGAAAGGAAATCACCTAAATTCTATATGTATTATTACAATTTCACAACTTCCTATGTTTACTGAATAGTATACTGTAAAGATTTTTCTGTCAATAAATACTATTTTCTACAAGTCAGGTTTTTAATTTGCAAAATAGAGAGTAGTATTGTCTACCATCTAGCACATGCTTGTCAAATGGTAATCATTCACCAACTGTCAAAAATAGCATCATTATCTTTAAAATCTATTTGCATGCCATTGTGTCATCTATAACAACTTATTAATCAATCTTGTTGCTTCATATTCAGTTTTCTGTTTTTTGATTTTTATGTGTTCTTAGGGTAACATCGTAGAAGTGTTCATGACAGGCAAGAAGAGGTGGAGTACAAAAGAGGTGGTCCGTGGATTTTTAAGTAAGGGCCTCCTAAATATTCTGAAAAGCTTTTTTCCCAACTCCTGTAAAGCTGAGGTGGTTTGTGCCATGCATGTCAGGAAACTACCTTGCTACCATGACCGTGACTGACTAGACCAGAGCCAAAGGCAAGCATGTAAGTCGGACCTGGGAGGCTGGCCAAGAGTCTCCAGGGTGGCTGGGCATTGAAGCACACCGAGTCAGTGTGCTCCTGGGCCCAGAATCATCTCTCTTGGGTGGTAGTACTCTCACAAGTAAGTTGAGCTCCTGCAGTGGTTCTTCCAGAGGACATCTAACGCAGGCTTGACGGAATGAATGGCTGATGAATTAACATCATTATCATATACTGAAGTACTCTGGGCATAGCCCTCTCCCACCCCTCAAAGGGCCTAACCTTCCACATTCGAAATGAAATAGGGGAAACTAGAAGGAAGGAAAGACCTTAGTAGACATTTATAAGGCACTATAAATCTTAGTTAGCTGTGAATATGCCTGTCATGGATCTGAGCACCATCTGAACTGTTGCTCTTTATCCATGCCAGCATGAGTATTCATATGTGCTGTTTCTTCCCACTTGCAGGTTCAATATTTTAGTAATCTGATTAAAAACATTGCCTTTCTAAGAATAAGCTGTCTGTAAGCTTCTGAACACATCTTGCTTTTCACTTGCATGCCCCACTGATCCTATCCAGGATTCTAGTCCTCAGGA